CCGGAACAAGCGTACTTTTTAGCAGCAATTTTTCCATTAATCTTTCTACATCGTGGCCGCTGCTGGGGAAACCCGGTTCAGTTCAATTTAGTAATAAATGAGTGCCGGAGTACCCGAATTAAAATTCTATTAGTATAATACCTTTTTATTGTGAGTTATATTAAAACGTCGCCTTGCTCAGCTCCAACGAACGGTCTATTGCTAATGGTTTAGATAAGACCATTTCAGACAATCAGTCCTGAAACAAATGCAGCCGTCCTAGTAGACTTAGACATCCAGTTGATACAGCTCGTTCCGCCCAAGCGACTACCGCCTCGAAGAAAGAGATGAAATTAGAGAGAGTAGGGAGTAGAGATGAGCTGAGAGGGAAGAGAAGTGAGAGCAGTGACGAGAGAGAGGAGATGAGGCCTGAGGAGTAGGTAAGAAGATGAAGAGACGAGGAGAGAGAGAGAGACGAGAGAAGAGAGAGAGAGAGAGAAGAGAGATGAGAGAGAGGAGGAGGAGAGGAAGGAAAAGAGGGGAACGAGACGAGAGTGATAGATGAGAGCGATGAAACGAAGAGAGAGGGATAGATTTGATGAGCGATAGAGAGAGGAGAGACGAGGAGAGAAGATGATAGATTGCGCCTGCGATAAAGGAGAGAAGCGCGCGAAAGGTGAGAAGAGACAAGAAGAGAGAGAGAGGAGAGAGAGAGAGAGGAGAGAGGAGATGAGAGAGAGATAGAGGGAAGAGAGAAAGATGGAGAACAGACAACGACAAAGAAAAGAGAGAGACAACTGAGGAGTGAGTGTTGGAGCGGATTGCGATGAGAGAGAGAGAGAGATCGAGAGAGAAGAGATGAGAGGAGAGGAGGAGAGAGAGGAGAGAGAAGAGAGAAGAGCAGTTGTGATCCGAGCGAGAGGTAGTGTGAATCGCAGCGAATGAGAGAGAGAGAGAGAGAGTGTCGATTCGAGCGAGAGAGAGAAGCGGAGAGAGAGGGAGAGAGATGAGAGTCGCAACAGGTAAGAGATAGCAAGAGCCTGAGAGTAGCGAAAGAGAAAGAATTGGAGAAGCAACGAGATGAGAGCGAATGCGCTGATGGGGAGTGCTCTTGATTCGCTTTGCCCTGAGTTTAGCAATCAGAACCTGGCGTCAGGTGATCGGCTGTCGCTCTTGCGGCCACTTGTTAAGTACAATGTTGTGTGTAAGGGTTTCAATGATAAGTCCGATACGAATACGTAATAAGCCGTAATAGGCAGTTAAAATCTGAATTTGACCAATCTGTTTGAGCGAGATAACCACACTCCATTGATATATTGTTATTAGGATGGTCAACCGTACCCAGTTCATACGTTTTTCACACATGCATACCAAAATGTAGACTTTGTGGCTTTTTGTTGTCAAGCATTGTTTTTAGAATGTCCTATCTCACCAGTAATTAGATAGTCTTGCTTTTCAATAGCTACAGTGAGATAAGTCAGTTGAATGCAGTCTGCAATCATAAATTTCTCACAGTAAATTTCTGTCGGTTGGTAGGTGTGAGTCACCTTGGAGCGGCTGTATGTATGATGAGCGGCTCTGCCGTCGGCCTGGTACGAATGATTCAGATAAATCCTGACACGTGTCTCTTCGAGGGAACGATAGATGGTCTTCAGGCAGGGGAGCATGGATTGCATGTGCACGAATATGGAGATATATCCCTTGGTGCCGAGAGGTGAGGGTAGTTTTGATGATTGTACAATCGGTCGTCATGCAGAGAGGTTTGTTTAGGTGTTTCTTCACAGCTTTAAGCAAGATAAATCTAGAGTCATAATTCAAGATGTACAGTGAAAAGTGTGGTGATAATAATCTGAGTGTTTCATGGTACAAGTTTTATAACTTGGTCGTAATTCAGGGTATTCTCAGTGGCTTTCTGTTTGTTTTATGACTTTCCTGCTTGGGAAGCAGTATAAAGCCGGTTTTATGTTGATATCTCTTTGCAGTTGTGGGAACCATTTCAACCCAACAGGGGCAAAGCACGGTGGCCGTACTGACATAGAAAGGGTGAATATTTGCCATTTTCTTATGGCATTTTTAATATGGTCACAATAATTATTACCATGTAATAAAAAGCTGCTATTTTGGCGTTGGTATGCATGATGAAAGAAAATTTACGTGGAATGTGAATTCACTCATGGCATTATGCCAGTATTTAATGCCATTTAAAAAAATAATCAGAAATTATTTTATAACCACAATTGTTAGGACAAACCGTACAGCATGGTAAACATTTGATGCCTTAGTTATTCTGTGTTTTTATGTTTCCACTGGGAGAAAGTTAAGTTGTTATTTGATTTTCAGCACATTGGTGATCTTGGCAATATAAGAGCAGAAGAAAACGGACGAGCCGTGTTCCGATTCACAGACAATCGCGTAAAGATATGGGACATCATTGGCAGATCTATGATTGTACATGCTGCCAAGGATGACCTTGGCAGAGGTGACAATGCCAGCTCAAGGATTGACGGAAACTCTGGGCCAGGGTAATTGTCTGCTGGCTGTTAGATTCAATGTTTATTTACTTATGTTTTGCGATTTGCTGAAAAATTCCATACACATTCATTTCTGCTCCATACTAATTCATCACTCTATTGGTTTAGTCATTGTTCCGACTTCCTTCTTTTCCATCTTCTCTTCTCTCTTTCATTTTATTGATCGATTGTGTTCTCATTCTTGCCCTCTACATTACTAGTCGTGTATTATCTTTAATTGCTTCTGTCTGTGGTTCACAGAGTAGCGTGGGGTATCGTCGCACGTTCTGCTGGGCTGTTTGAGAATGTGAAGACGGTATGTGCGTGTGACGGCATCAGACTGTGGGATGAAAGAGACGTGCCTCTAGCTGGACCTAGCCGCTCCAATAACACAAGGTCCTATGTGCAAGCACAGTTGTAGCTGACCTGTGTCAGGACTGATTATATGTCTCATCGTGCCAGAAATTCTGCATTCCACGTCCAGTAGAATTCAGTGTTTTATTCTTATAGATTGTTGTTGTAGAGAATTATGCCATTGATGGGGCATAAAGTAAGTATCATGAAGTACTTTAACAGGATCAAGTGAGAGAACATGCATACTGAAATGATTTAGCCAAAGGAGATCATGCAATACTTGCATTAGTAATTCGTTATGTAATGTTATTATGCCTAATGGTAATTTTAGCATGCGAGAAAATTGAAGTTTGTGGTATCATGACATCATGATCACTGGTTAAATGAATAAAGGTTGGTACTTCGTGTGTATGTGTGCCACTGCTCTTTACCTCTTGCTAAACGTTACTGATTCCGGTAGCCATTATTTACAGAGATGCCTGCCATAGGGAAACTGCCATGCGTTTACAGTGAGAGGTGGTAACTCTCACGTGTTAGATGTTCTCTCACACATAGTCACCGTGTTACTTTGTACATAAATCACTGTATTCATAATCGGTACGGCAATCAAGTAACGGCGATGTGGCGTTTCCATGTTACCTGGTGTCGTGATCGGCATACTCGCGGTGCATTGTACATGTGTAGCTTTGAATTTCTAAAGTTTTAGCGCATGCTAGTAAGCCAGTCGGTGGTCGCGTGCTTTATCGATCTGTTTTGCACGCAGCTGCTCGTGCCTAGCAACACTGATTGATACCCACGCCCAGAGAAGAGATGAGCGGACGACGCACTATTCTTGTGTCGCGTGCATATTACGAATCACAGGCTGGGTGATTGCTTTGAGGGGATTCGCACGTCTGTTGTCATCGCGTCTTCTGTATGCTCGCTTATATAAAATGGTCACTGTCTATGGCTACGAAGTTGAGCAGTTACGAAGTTATCTGCTGTGCGTACGTACACGTAGCGGTGGTTTGGTTGACCTAGCTGGATTAGGCTAACCTAAACTAAGCTGGGCTGGAGACAGTCTGGTACGACCTAAGCTGGGCTGGATTAAATCGGGACTAGCTGCATGGTCTAGGTTACATTAATCAACGATTGCCTTAGCTTCATGGTAGGTGTCGCAGTATAGTGCCTGGTTTTCATTGTAGAGGACAGTAGTGCCTGCTTCGGATTACAGTATAAATCATTAAATGTCGTCATCTCTGCACTGCCTTTTTAATAGTGAATGGCAATTGTTTTTAATTGTTAATTGTTATGTGAATTTTTGTTAGGATATCTGAGCATCCGTGTACGAAGTGCTACAGTATTTTGAGAACAGCTCTATGACGAGGCAACATAATAATGAGCTAAGCTAGTCATTACTGAGCGGATTTCTTACTAAATCTGTGGAAATTAATCTTGGAGCGGAGTAGTCCTGTTAATAGCTGACATGATCGTCATTGGAGAACTATAATGATTACTAACTAATATCTTAATTGGCTGTAAACATGTATGAGATCGTTTTGTGTAATTATAATGTTGATTTAATGTTGACTTGTTCCAGCGTACGTTTTTAATCTGACTACGTTCACGTGTACGTGCTTATATCATTTCGGTGGATTTACTAGCGAAATTTATAAACAGGTAATAACAAGACGGGAAATTTGTAATTACTATGTAAATTTTCATAATCTCATTATCTCATTAGCGATCTCGTAAACATATCGATCTATGCTAATTTCTTGCAATGCAATACTATCAGGAGTCTATCGTCTATTGATAGACTCCTGATACTATATGATTGTTTTCTATGCTTCGTCTTCATATACGAGTGAAATATTTAAGAAAAATATTATTCGAAATCGGTAATTGAGGTTTTCGGTGGCAACCGAAGGAACCTACCTGCGAGTAACATAGGTGTAGTGTGTGTGCGAGAGCGTCGGGCAGTTTTCTCTAAAGAAACTCTGCCATTGCGTAAATGACTACTACTTCCTTATGAGGAAGGGGGCCCGGGAGCTGCCAGTGGCCACAGAGGCTCTAGGTTCCACAGGTGCTCTTGGGTGTAATCTAAGCTATTTCATATAGACTTTGTGAAACAAACGCATATAATATTACCGTGCACGAAATTTGCTGCATACAGGTCTAGCTGTTCGACGATAGAAAATATATCACAGTGGTTCCCGCTGTACATATCGGGATAGGTCGGTAACTATGAAAATGCCCCGAATAAGCGGTGAACACAATGAGTAAATATTGTTTTTTCAAAGACGTTTACGCGATGCGGCCGTATAGTCTACTAGCCACCCCTATGTGTTCTTCATTGAACCTAGAAATGTCGAGTACTATAAGGTTTTATGTTGGAAATGCAATATACAGGTCATAAGAACTAAGAAACTGCCGGATGCTAATTTGCATATGTGTAGCATTTTGCTTAATTGGCCTAATTAGCATATTAATTAGGTCAAATCACAAAATCAAGGATATCTTTCTTAGTAATTAATCCACATAGAGACTTCATTCGTGTGTCTAGACCCATGTTTTCGACACTAAGCAATGGGGTTAGCCGCTAGCTTTGTCAGCAGGTGGCGCAGCGGGAGTTAGAGGTGTTACAACGATTGCGCAATCAACCGGTCAGTTGGAAAGATACAGGAATCACGAATAGCCGATCGTATCGTCATAGCGATATAACCAAGTTAAAATGCCTTCGTAAAGTCTGCAGCTATCACTTCAGAGAGGCTGACTATACTAGCACACTTTTAAGGAAGTGTAATATCGAAAATAGCTTATAAACATTAGTTATTAGCTCATTTTGACTTTGAGGTTCGCAGTAGTTTTCTTGCGTATTCCATGCAGTCTAGACGCACTGCAGCCCGGTATACGCGCGAAGCGCGAACAGCACCACCTGGTGGTGCCATTAGGGTCAATTCGCTGCCCAATATGT